TTTATGCATTATTGCTTAAACTATATCAATTAAAATTATACGTAAAAGGGCTCCTGAGAATAAATATCTTACAGTAGCTTGTTTCAAAAACATCATATAAATCGATGATATTGAAGATATCTATAAAGATGTCACGTAAGAATATCTAATAATTTCATAAAGACAATTTCCAAATTTTAAGATTTCTCTTATTATTATTATTACACGATTTTATTATAATATTCTCTGAATAATATAAAGTTACTATACGTTTTTATTTGAATACTTATTTTGCTGATTATTAATATCTGCATTAGTATATTTTGAAAATCAAAATTTTTAAATTTAGAAAATATATTTCTATTCATAATAAATACTTCTCTATTTTTTAAAAATTTATTATTCCTTCTTAATACATCTAGTATTTTTGAATGTAATTGGTAGTTTCGCCATATTTGGTCTTAACGACACCAGCCAATCAGTAAGAAACTAAGGATGACTCAACTTTTAATGCAGAAGAATATATCTATAAAAAAAAAATCCTTGGTTGTTAAGGACTCCGCACAATAAAAGGAACAGGGAAGCTGTGATTCCACAATACATGATTTCTGATAGGTTGAAATTCTTATTCTCTGTTCTCTGTTCTCTGTTCTCTGTTCTTTTATTGTATGGAAGCCCTTAAATTTGTGTGCATGGTATGCAAACATAACCTTATATTCCTTTTGCAGCATTATATTTCTGTTATATTTCTGTTATATTTTATGTAAGATTATAGAAGTGATAATAAATACTTAATATTAAAAGTAAAAAAATATGACAGGTTTGCATTTAATACAAACTTATTCTTCCGATTCGGATGAAGATGAGCACGATGAGACGAAGAAAGATGATCATAAAATTGTAAACAAGTACATAAATTACATTATTCATTCTAGATTAATTCTTTCTTGGGAAACCCATTTTTTAATTATTTATATAAAACGAAAAGCAATATTTGAAATAATCAAAATTATAATTCTTAAGTTTGAGGTTATAAAAGGGAAAGCACTTTGCAAACACAAGATAATGTGTTTCTTGATATATTTATTAGTAGATAATTTAAGATTAATTATATGCGGTATAATGTTAAAGTTCCGCATAATTTTTTTCTAAATATTGATATATGACGCAAGAACAAAAAATAATAATGTTGAATAAATTTATAGATTAACTTTACCTGCAAGTATTTTATCATGGAAAGGAGTTACATCTAACGAAGAAGTGATCGATGATCCACTGGATCATGATGGACGAATACGAAGCTTTAAACATGAGCGTGGTAATTGGACAACTCTGATTTACATAAACTGTAAGTATTTCAAATAATATCAAGAAGTATTAATTTAAATCTTATATAAGTATAAACATAGATCAAAGAATCTTTGCTTAATATTGATATATTAAATAATCAATATTAAAATTATTTTAAAAAATTTAAGAAATAAGAAAAAATTTTAATTGATTTCAGATGCACCCAGCGATTGTCTTTATACATGGATGAAGTCTGTGTTGAACAAACTGCCTGTTGAAGGCAACATCATTTCTAATCTTCATATTAGTCTCAGCCGTACTTTAGTTTTAAAGTTTCATTGGATTGAATCGTTTGTAGAAGGCATAAAGTTGGCGTGTCATAGCTTTAAGAAATTTATCATACAACTCACAGATGTAAGGGTGTATTGCAATGAGGAGAGAACTCGTACATTTCTTGGAATTTATTGTCAAGATGAGGATAAAATGTTGAAGTGCCTAACAGAAATTTTTGATAATTTATTAGCTGAATATCAATTACCATCATTTTATAAGGTACATGAAATTAATATTTCTTTCTTGCATTTTTGTTACATGTATTATACATATATGAAATAAGTAACAGATTTTATAATTTACATTTATGTCTTCTGATCTTTCACTGTAGTCATGATGTTGATTATGTCAGAAACAAAATGTTTTAGGCCTATTCTTTTTCTAGCAGAACTTCATCTTCTTTTTTTTTCTCCAACATGAAGAAAAAAAAATGAATAAGAAGTTCAATTAAAAAGAACAGACTTCGTGTAAATCATAACTTAAAATGCAACAAGAGATCAGAAGATTTAAATTAATTTGATATATTTTTCTTATATACAGGATACTTCATATCACATAAGTTTCTTCTGGTGCCTCGGAGACAAGCAAGCATGTTTAAAAGAAATTCTGTCACCTCTTACTAGCAGTCTAAACAAATTTTTGGCAGAAAACATGGAAGATGCGTATGTGCATGTCAATGATATACAATGCAAAATTGGAAATAAATGTTATATCTTTAAATTGAAATAACAAAATTTATAAATTAGACTATAAAATCTAGGAAATTATACAGTATCTGTTTATTATAAAAAAGCAAAACTATTACTTGATTGTTTCTCTGAATTGATTGAACCTACTGATTTTTTACATTAAAAATATAAGAGATAATATTTTATAAATTGTAATAGTATTGCTTTTATAAATATATGTATGTATTATAAAATATAAATTTGTTTTAGAGGTATCTACATATAATTGTAAGATATTTTTTTTAAATAAATTATTTTTTGTATCAAAATTATATATATATATATATACAAAATATTTTTTACAGAAAGTCATACTGGTTTAAAAATAGCCAAGTTATGAGGCAATTTTATTACAATACCTGCACTTTGCCACAATTTAATCCAAGAATCACATAAATTTGGCTCTATGCTAGCCAGTAGCGTACAAACTTCAGGATTTTGTATAAATAATCCTGCCTCTGGATTACTGACAATATTTTTACAACCACTGACATCAATATAAGTTAATGTAGGCTGACGACTTAACAATGAGTTTATGGAGAACACAGACACATTTATATTCCCACGAAGTATTAATTTTAATAGTCTAGGCAATTGCGTTAAGATGATCTTTACATCAGCATCTAATATGTCACAGAACGAAAGATCCAGCGACTCTAAGCTCGGCGCCAGACCTATACTCGTATCTAGACTTAACATGAAACGGTTGGAAGACAGAATATTAGATAAATTCAAATCAAACAATTGCTTACTTAAGAAAGAAGTCGTTGCATCGCGATTTAATTTATTCCACGAAATATCGCAGCTTGTTAGATTGGGATTGTCAAGTGGAAGATAAAAGTTTTCCAGCATACAGTAACGTAAGTTAAGAGTTTGCAAGTATCTCAAGGGCGCAATTAGCTTTCGCAGGGTCTCATGGCTCTCGGAATTCAACGGATTATAACTCAGATCTAAGATTCTTAATTGAGAAGGCAACGAATTTACTTGGCGTAAACAGGCGAAGTCAATATCACAGCCTTTTAAATAGAGCTCCTGTAGAGACGACATATTCGAGAGACATTGATGTAAATGTATTCCCGCTGTCAGTAATGCAGTGCCCGACAATTGTAACAATTTAATATTCTTTTCGTATTCTAAGGTCTTTAATAACGGCACAAGTACTTGTTTATTGATATCGTCAGATTTTAAACGAAATATCGACGTATTCTCACAGGATCTCAGGCACTTTAGCACGATTTCGCAAGGCATCAGGTTGTGAGTACAACAAATTGTCTTGAATCGCTCGACGATGGATGGAACCTGCAGTTCGACTACTTCACATTCCAATTTATCATTCGCATTCTCTCTCGTGATTCTTAGAATAATCTCTTTCGTCACGACAGTCCCATTTATGGGTTGAAACGACAGTTTAACTGTACAACCGGTTTCATCATGAAACATGCGTTCGGTAGTACTTGTAATGTACATCAGGAACTCTTGCTCGTCTTCGCAAACTGCTACTTTTAGATTGAACACTTTATCTTTGACAAACGTACGTAAATGTATGTATTCTTTGTCGTGCTGTTTCGAATTTATTGCAAGAGATGATTGCAAATGAGCCACTGGAGACGGTGTACGACTGCGAGACACGATAAATCCACTTGAGATCAAAGATATCTGTCGTTTTTTCTTACATTTCTTAGGTTCTTCAAATAATTCAACAATGTCAGAGAAATCATCATCGCTGCCTTCGCTTGTACTAAATCCGTTCTTACTTTGACATGAATCGTTCAGTCTCAACTTTTTAGTAGCGTTCTCCAGATTTCCATCAGAAGACTTTCGTTTGATTGTGGTAGGATGATTGTTCGTAGATTTTTTCCTCGCTGCACCTGCGATATCGTCTTCAAGCCAATCATCAACAAGAACTTGTTCTTCGTTAATTAAAGGTGTAACCGCCTTAGTTACTACCTCATTATTACCTTTAGATGCACTAACAGTGTTAATTTTATTAAAGGTCCGCAAGTTCGCTATTGTTCTCTTATAATCCTCACCGGCGGATATTTTTCGAACTTCAGATGTCTCGAACGATGTAGATCTTTCGTCCGGAGTTCGAATGTCGTTAGATCTCTTCCTTTTCTTTTTCAATGGAATAACAGCCGAAAGCTCTTTATACATTGTGTCATATTCGACTAAATCCTTGGGACTTAACTCTTCTACGCGATTTCTCCAGCCTTCCAAACAATCCAGCACAGTTTCGCCGTCGTGGGTCTTGAGCGTCACAGTTGCTCCGTGTTGTATCAAGAGATGCATCATCGAAAAGTGTCCGCAACATGCAGCGTCGTGAAGCGGCGTCACACCTTTACAGGACGTACCGCCCGGATCATTAACATTAGCACCGTTCTTCAGAAGTAGTTCCGCGATGTCTATGTAACCGTGATTAGCAGCTTCGTGAAGCGGGGACCATCCATAGTTATCTCTGACATTTGTACAATGACCGGATGACAAGAGTTTCTCAACGACATCGATGTCACCGTTGATTGACGCCACATGGAGCTGCGTTTCACCCTTTTCATTCCTCTTGATTGCAGTTGACGTTCCCCTCCTCGATCTTCTTTTGGTACCAACCGGCTTCGTGATATTCTCTTCGGGTTCTAGATCAGACAAATCCTCCAGACAAATATCTGCACCGATTCTATCGCTTTCCTCGGACGCTTCACTCTCTGTATCGCTCAGTGCTTCCAAAAATCCTACTTTCTGCTTTATATCCTCTGCCTCATCGAACTGGCCTACGCATTCCAGATAACTGACGAGTTCTCTTGTGACAAACTTTTGTAGCTTAACGTTATCGCTTTCGTTCGCTGCGCTTAATGCTAAAGTGTAACATTCCCGTATTTCCACATCAGCGGCATTCGCTGTTATTAATAAATCCGCTAAAAATAATGCCGACCTGTATTTCTCTAGAGGATTGGTGCAAAGGTCTAATTCCCTTCGCGCGAATGGCAATGCTTCTTTGTAACGTCCTGCATCTTTGAGCGTTTGAGCCAAACTCATTAAAGAAATACCTATCTGTTCACCAGTTTCCTCCGCGTAAGTCAACATTTGTCGATAATATTCTGCACCTTTGTCAAAGCATTGCACGGCGACTGCTGCATCGCCTAAGGTCTCATATAGTTTCTGCTTAGCTCGAGTATTAGTCTCGACAAGAAGACTGTTTTCCGCTCGACAAATCGTTACAATAATTCTTAAATATTTCTCCACCTGATGATTAATGTCTTTTGGCAATCTAGTACTCATATATAGGGGAACTAATACTTTACGCGTTTCAATCCACTGTCCAGTTCGCATGAACAGTTCAGCCTTTATTATTTTCGCTTCGGCTTTCAGGCGCTCATCATTTACAGTGGCTGCAGTTTCGATATAACTTAATGCCAGCTCAAGATTACTCTGCCGCTCGTATATAGTTGCTAGAGAAATACACGTTCGATGCAGGTCTTCCTGAAAATTATTGGATACACATAATGCAGTCGCTTGTTCGATTAGACTAATCGCTTGTTGCGTCTCCTTCTGCGCTTCCAACGTTAAACCTAAGTTAAGTAGCAATCTCGCCCGCATCAATGTCTTCTCTTCCACTTTGATCTCTGTAGCTGTTAATTTATCGCACAGCTCCATACTCTGCACATAAGCCATCTTCGCGTTTGCCAATGCTTCATCTCGTTTCTGAGTTTTTCCGATTAAGCTTTCAGCTAAACAGAAATAAGTTCTACCTAAAGTAGCAAATGCTCGTTGCTCCTCTATCGAGCTCTTCATGTCTTTGGCGCCTTCCAGATGTAAATTTTGATGTTTCAGGGCCTGTTCGTAATCTTGCAAATTCGCGTAAACTTCTCCAATCATTCTGTGCGCTATCGCACAGCTTAGTTTATCTTGTAATTGTTCACAGACAATTAGCTGCTCAGAATATTCCTGCAGAGCCTCCTTTAACTGATTGTTCTCGAAGTACATGTCCCCCAAGGTATTTGTGATTTCGGCTAACTGACGAAGATTATTATCACGTCTGGCATGTTGCTTCCTCTTAATGAGTTTATCGATGTTCATTCTGATAATTTTCTTAGGTCTACAAAATGTCTTGTCTTCTTTAAACTCCTATAAAGTATAAGACATTAATTTCATCGAAAAGACATTTGATAAAAATTTAAGATATTAAGTTCGTTTTCTATAACTGAACTAATGTTACTTTTGGAACTTAAAACTTAAAATAAAATAAGTATGTCTGGTATTTGGCAAAAGTGAGAAAGAAAGCTCTAACAAAAAACCTCTATAGAACCTGGCCACAAGTGACTTTGTTAATATCTTGTAAGAGTGCAAGGTATTTATACTTCTTCCCAATATATACTATTTCATTTTATGTAACTTATATTGTTTTACTTTATAATTCTAAAATTCTTCAAATTATCAATATTCATTTTTATTTCCTTGTATATGTATTGTCTCTTATTCTAACTTATATTTTCTAACTCTGACCCATTTCTACCAATGTAAATTAACTTTAATCTTAAATTTATTCTTTACCTTTCTCTAATTCTTAGAATTAGAAGAAGACAAAAAATAAGTAAACAAAGATTAAACTGTATTGGGAGAAATGGACCAGAAAGAGAAAGAGAGAGAGAGGGAGAGAGAGAGAGGGAGAGAGAGAGAGAGAGAGGGAGAGAGAGAGAGAGAGAGAGAAAGAGAGAGGAGAGAGAGAATGAGTTAGAGTGAGACATTATATATACACAAGAAAATATATTTTTTTCTTTCATAGGATTTTGCCAAAATCGCTTGCCAGATTCTATTAAAGATCTATAGCGAAAGAATAAAAAATAGACTTATTGTTACCTGGAGTTTTGACAAAGATGTATCTACTGACTATTACCCTTTTAATATGTAGTGAGATCTCAAAATTTTCACAATCTGAACTAATCAACATCATGAAAGGATAATAAATTCATAACTAAATGATCTCTCCTTTTTAAATAAAATTTTTTAATATCTTCCAATCAATTTCATTCAAATAACATTCCCTACGAAACTGCGAATCTGTCATACCATCTGATCGGATCACTGATGCCATTAGCCCTACGATTTTGGCGCCATTTGATGCGTTCCAAAATTCATCAAAAAATGAATGAATGTGCCACGCAAAGTTTAAGGTGTCTTTTCATGCTGATACTCGATGCTCATTTTCAGTGTTAAAATAAATTATTTGATAAAAATTGACACACATAATTTATTTTGATGCTAAAAATAAGCATGAAATATCAGCATAAAAAGATTCTTTAAGATGCTAATACGATCTTTTGATTGGTTCGTGACATTAATCTTAAAACTATATTTAAGACAGTTTTAAATATAAAAATTGACTATGAATGCCAGAATATCGATCATAAAAGTCTGTGGAAAAATCTCACATATTACATAAAATATAAATATAAATAAAAAATAAGAATATAAAGAAATATTTATATGAGCTTAAAGAAACGCCTGGTTCTTACGAGAAGTAAATCATGCTAAAAAATAGAAAGTTTCTCAGAGAAATGGTGAAAAGAAAGGTGTGTGTATTCTCAAGATGAATTTCGTCGAGACAGAATAATTTTTAAGTTTCGAGAGACCAAAATAAATATATTTGCTACATAAAAATTATCGAAAAAAATTCAGAAATATGCATTTTTATTGCTGCCCAAAATAGAAAGCGTTAATATTAAAATGGAAACAGCTTGTGAAAAATCAATTTTTATTATGACATAATTTAATTCAAATAACCGCGGCAAAATGGTGACATATGATATCACGTTCTTATTGGCTGTTAGAATTAAATGTACGAAATATTTCGACTAGTTTCAAGTAGTTTCTAGAAATAAACGTGCGTGGAGAAGTGAGCGTCTATAAGACGTGAGTTTCGTGATTTAAAAGTGGTTGTAAACAAGACGCTGCAGACTGTAAAATGAAAATGAAAAGTAATTAATAAACCGTTTGAATTTGATTCCATTTGGTTTATGAGACAAAGTTTTCTCAGGAATTATTTCTTCACGATTTGATCGATTTCTTTATATTTAGCTTAACGCGGTGGAGTCACGAGTTGATAGGCACATCTTGTAAATTCCATAATAAAACTCAACGATTTCGTGGCAAGGTAAATTTTCAGATTGTAATAATATCAATATTTTAACAAGATAAAAATCAAATTTTTAACAAGTATACAATGTAATGCCCTTACTTTTAATTTTCTTAAGAACAAATGGGACTTAAGTGACGATTTTTTTTTCAAAATATATTCTATGTATAAAAATACACAAATTTACAAAATTACAAGAAAATTAGAGAGTGGAAACGTTATACTGTACATTTATCAGATCTTTAAATATATTTATGATATAGAGTTAAACAGTAAATATTAAGATTGGAATTTCTGTTTTTTTATTTACAAAGATTTTTGTATGATATTCGTATTTTTGATGTCTTCTAGAAAAGTATAAAGATAAAAATTTCTTGATAATAATTAATTATTAAAATTTCAGACGTTGTAATTCACTGCTGATTAAAATAAATCACTGACTACTTTGTGAAGATGCTAGTATAACCTCAAGGATTCCATCTCTTTCATACTTCCACATAAGATTCGTTGTAAACAGCATCAGTCACGTGTGTATTAATTAAAAGTGCAAAATGGATCAGATGCTTCCGAGTCCTGGTTTTAGTATACCTAGCATCGGCACACCTCTGCATCAACCAGAAGAGGATCAACAAATCCTGCCGAATGCGTTACAGCAACAGCAGCAGTCACAACAATTTCAACAACTGCAGCAACTGCACTCGATGAGTCCCAACATGCAGAGTGGCATGCTAATGATAACAACACCACAAAAAAATATGCACACATATGCTCCAACACCATCGTTTGCGACACCACAAAGTCTTATGCAGCCACAAACGCCAGTAATTCAATGTTGAATTTAATGTTATCTATGCTAAATATAATATTGCGATGGAATTTAAAATTCTAGACCTGTTAATAGTAATACATAATATAAGTATATTTTTTGTGATGCTAAAGGAATATTTAATTTGATGTTTTTTGTTATTATTTTTAAAAGTTTAAAATTTTTCAACTATATAACAAAATTATTCACTTGAACTTAACATAAATTAAATAAGATTATGAAATTAGATTATTCTCTCTCTCTCTCCCCCCAAATCATTACACTATTTAAAACGAAAATTCTTTTAGGAAATTTTTCCTAATTTTTTAAGGAAGTTTTTTCAATTTTAATTTTCTAATTCTCAAATCCATGGATTTTTTTCAGGAAAATATCCCAGGATCTAAATTCCAGTTAGTGGATTATTTTAAGTATCAGAAACTTAAAATTGAAAAAAATAAATGTTAAAGAGTTATTAAAGAACGTTAAATTTCCATTATACAATAACGACCTCGTGCAATTCTGAGTAAAGAATTTGAGAGACTGAAAAAGATACAATTAAGATACAGTATTCTAAGCATATTAATATTTACTTCATTATTTTAACTACTTTTTCCTTCTTCTTTAGCAAAATATGATGTCTCCGATAGTACCACAAAATAATCAAATAGCACCGTCGTCGATAGGTCCCGCGACGCCAGGACCAATGACACCAATGACCCCAGCTTCTGCGGATCCTGGAATTTTACCACAGTTGCAGTAAGTAACTCTTTCAATAAAAACAACTAACATATAATTCACGTCTACCTTTTCTTATTTCTTTAATCATATTTCCGCTTTATTTCAGGAATATTGTGTCTACCGTTAACTTAAATTGCAAACTTGATTTGAAAAAGATAGCACTTCATGCCAGAAATGCCGAATATAATCCGAAAAGATTTGCGGCTGTTATCATGCGAATAAGAGAACCAAGAACTACCGCACTGATATTCAGTAGTGGTAAAATGGTTTGCACTGGCGCCAAGAGTGAGGGAGATTCACGTCTTGCTGCCAGAAAGTACGCAAGAATTATCCAAAAATTAGGGTTTCCTGTAAGTATCGGCAAACTTATTAAAATATGATACAAAATGAGTTAATTTTCTCAATATAGATTTTTTTAAATATAGAATTGTTTACAATTTATCGCGACAAAATATTTATA